GCGCGCGCCTTTCCTCTGTATTGGATCTCTTGCCTTGTGTGTGTGTGTGTGTGTGTGTGTGTGTGTGTGTGTGTGTGTGTGTGTGTGTGTGTGTGTGTGTGTGTGTGCGCGTGTGTGCGTGCGTGCGCGTGCCTTTCCTCTGTATCGGATCTCTTGCCTTGTGTGTGTGTGTGCGCGCGTGCGTGCGCGCGCCTTTCCTCTGTATCGGATCTCTTGCCTTGTGTGTGTGTGTGTGTGTGTGTGTGTGTGTGTGCGTGCGCGCGCACCTTTCCTCTGTATCGGATCTCTTGCCTTGTGTGTGTGTGTGTGTGTTTGTGTGTGTGCACGTGCACGTGTATGTGTGTGTGTGCACGCGTGTGTGTGTGTGTGTGTGTGCGTGCGCGCGTGTGTGTGTGAAAAGATTATGAGGACACACACAGCAAATGAATAAAATAATGTGGTTCGGAGTCTCCAAAAGCAACACAGCTCATGCCAGCCTTCGTTTATCTAATAATGGAGGACACAGAGGACTTTCCCGCGCATATTTAACTCCGCCCACAGGCTCGGGGATTTCCGCATTCCTGAGAAGTCCTTCGGATTTATACGTGGACACTACACAGCCCGTTTGAGACCAAACTCACGCCATCCAGCCCCACCAAACCCTGACCGTGCCGACGCTAATGTGTAAGCACCATTGGTGGAAATATCTACCTGCTTTAGGGCTGTTAGCTATTCACTCCGCTATTAATACATTTCTAGCAGTTAGCTTTTTCAGTTTGCCGACCAATAAAAAGCACAAAAAGAAGAAAAAGATTCATTAAGCTTTTTTTGTTGGCATCATAGCAGAGCCTATGTAAATGTAAGAGAGTAATGTCTTTGGAGGTGAAGCAAAGAGCTAGAACCAGAGTAAACGTCAGCGCGGCCTACACTTGTTTGAGGGAGCAGAAGGAGGCAGTGAACTCCCAAACTAATAGTGACCTGGCTTTGTTGCTACTTGACTTGTAAGTGATATTTTTTTGTCCAACAGTGTGGGTCTTTTTACTTAGTGGTTTGTTTAGTATCAGTTGGCTTGAGTTACTGTTTTTTGTTTTAGCTCTTTGCTTCACCTCCAAAGACACAAGGCAAGGCAAGGCAGCTTTATTTATGTAGCACATTTCATACACAGAGGCAATTCTATGTGCTTTCTATTAGCAAGAACATTAGCAATACTTAATACTTAGCAAGATCAGAAAGTACTATTTAATAATGAAGAAGAAACAAAGTTAAAGGGTGAGCAAATACAGTGCAGAAGGTGTGGCATAAGAGCATAACACTACACTTACTTTTACTTCCAGGCTCAGCCATGATGCCAAAAGTGCAAAATGATCTTTTTCTTCTTGTGCTTTTTATTGATGCGCTAACTGCTAGCCTAGCTAACTGCTAGCCTTCCTATTAGTTAACAGCCGTAAAGCAGGTAAATACCTCCACTTAGGCACCACTGTGTGAAGTGTCTTGAGATGACTCTTGTCGTGATTTGGCGCCATATAAATAAACTTGAATTGAACTCAGTGAAGCTACCTATGCCACAAAACTGATTGCACCTTCTGGTCCGCATAGGGCTGCAGAGTGCTGTACCGTAAAAACTGGTTTGATTTAAATAGATTGACACTGAATCTTAATAAAACACATTTTATACTGTTTAATGATAGAAAGAACAGTGATGTGTCATTGGAAATAGATGGGATTGCAATTCAAAGAGTAAAAGAAACTAAAGTTCTTGATGTTCTTATTGATGAAGACTTGACATGGAAATCCAATATTAGTTACATAAAAGGTAAAATTGCCAAATCCTTAGGAGTAGTACATAGAGTCAAGTTTTACTGACTAATTCTGGTTTGTTGGCATTGTACAATTCACTGATTGTTCCATACTTGACTTATTGTGTAGAAATCTGGGGAGCAACATACAAAAACTACACAACCCTTATTTATTTTACAGAAAAGAGCTCTGAGAATCATCAGTTATAGTGGCTGTAGAGATCCATCAAACCCATTGTTTATTAAAAATAAATTACTGAAATTTCATGATTTAAAAGACGGGAAAATCATACAAACCATGTATAAAGCCAATTTAGGTACTCTGCCAACAAACATTCAGGGGATATTTGAAAAGAGAACTAGGAATTACATGCTGAAAGAAACTGATGTGTTTACAAAACCTAGATTTAGAACTAAAATTAAGGAGTGGAATATATCTGTAAATGGTGTTAAATTATGGAATAACCTTAAAAGGGAAATTTAAAAAACGCTGTAATTTAATATATTCAAAAATGTACCAAATTGAGTGTACTAACTAATTATGAAAATGTAAATTAAATCAATGATCATGATTACACTGGAATTTAGAACAGGAAAATGTTTAAAATGAATCTGTATGTGTGTCTGACAAATCGAAATTATATATAAATTGATTATTTCTTCTGGAAAAGGGGGCTGAAATTATAAGATGTTTTTCTTCATTCTGCTCTTTTTCGTTCAAAATGGATTTTTTGTTATGTATTTATTGTTTATATGTTTTATTTGTTTTTATTTTGAACAAAACAAAAAAGAGAAAAAAAATTGGTTCATTTTCTACCTCAAAAATCACTGAAACCAGTTTGAAAGCAATAGCTTAAAGTGTTTAAAACTAGTGCTGCTTTACAACTGCTGTCATGGTTGATAATTCACATCATCACCGATAAGTTTAAAAATGGCTTACATCACATTTTAATGCCACATCCCTAGTTTCAGTGTATAAGCATTTGACTCTCATTGGTCCGTTTCTGTAACAGTTCTTGTTCCGAATATCCTCCTGTACTTTTACATGCGTTTCTTCTTTTGTACGTTTGTTCCGCGCAATCCATCAAATGTCATTGTTTGGTCCTGGCAGTGCTCGGAGGATGGCTACAGCGTTAGCTGAAACTTGTCCGCTAAAAAAGGTAAAAACAAATCAATACTCTGTGTTTTTACATGTGTTGTTCCAGGTGCGTGCTACTGACAATGGCTCACCTCCCAGATACACAGACCAGTCCCTCACCATCAATATCCTGGATGTTAATGATAATGCACCTGTAATTCAAAACCCCAGAGGCTACAATGTTAGCATCAGTGAGGTGGGACTAAAAGTCATTAACACGTTTAAGATGAAACAAGTGAATGTTTTCAGTCAAATGATCAGAGATAGTTATTCTAATACATGTATTTTACAGAATGTTGGAGGAGGCACTTCAGTCCTTCGTGTGGTGGCTACTGACCGAGACATCGGCTCCAACGCCATGTTGTATTACTACATCACCGATGGGAACCAGGACATGACTTTTCGTATGGACCGCGTAACAGGAGAGATCGTGACTCGACCGTCTCCCCCCGACAGAGAGCGTCAGCAAGAGTATCGGCTTAATGTCACCGTGGAAGACGACGGCACACCACCTCTGTCGGTAGGCTGCAAGGAATGTCCGCCATTACCAGTGCCTGAGAAGTTCTTATTAGTGATGTGTCGGTCGCGAACGAACCGGCTCTAAGGGCCGGCTCTTTGAAGTGAACGACGGGAGCCGGCTCGTCGTTGGGAGCCGTGCCCTCCCCTTTTGCTTTGGTGAAAGCCACAGGCGATTGGTCAGCATGTGTAACTGCGTGTCCAGACTGTCCACTCACAGAGCAGTAGGGGGCGGGGAAGAGGGAGGATCAGACTCAGACACACAGCAGAGCACATGCGGGCGGAGGGAGACGAGAGGGAATGAGGAGGAGGAAAAAGGCGAGCGAGCGAGCGAGCGAGAGAGAGAGAGAGAGAGAGAGAGAGAGAGAGAGAGAGAGAGAGAGAGAGAGAGAGAGAGAGAGAGAGAGAGAGAGAGAGAGAGAGAGAGAGAGAGAGAGAGAGAGAGAGAATGAGCGCCAGCAGTCGGAAAGTGGAGATTTCTGAAAGTGTTCAGTTATTAAACCCATAGAAATGATAAATATTTGATATATAGCATTTATTTTACATTAGTAAATCGTTTTACATATAGTTTAGCATTATTTTGGTTATAAATGTACTCCACGCAACAGAAAATCTGAGGAGCCACTTGGGAGCCGAAAGAGCCGGCTCTTTTTGGTGAGCTGAGCCAAAAGAACCAGCTCTCTAAAAAGAGCCGGAACTCCCATCACTAGTTCTTATATACTGTAACCCTAACTCAACAGTGCTATCTTATAATCCAAAGGAATGCATCAGAGCCCCTAAGATAGCCTAAGATAGATTGTTCTGTCCACAAAAGTTTTGTCTCAAGACTGCCTGATCATTTGCACATTTAATAATGTTAATGGATCTCAGACACAAAAAGATTCACACCCTGAGGTTCAATATTCAACTTTTGAGGCTACATAAGCTGTGCTTACAGTGAAATAATTAGTTGCCTGACCACCGTTGTATAGGCGGGGGTCGTGTGAGCGGAGGAGTGCCCCTCCGACCTCCGCTAAACGGGAGGGACCTGAGATGGCTTTTGTTAGTCTGAAGACGGGCAGATTATTTTCTGTTATTTCTGAGAACTTGACTGATAAATAGCAGGAAAAAGTCCCGGTACACTGAGAGGTAACATTTCCAGAGCTGCGTCTCGATGCATACCAGCCCACTTCACTTTCATCCGTACCCTCATTTTGATTGGTCGTTATCTTCCTGCTTCAGATGATCACTGAAGCATGTTAAGTTTACCGCAAAGCTCTGATTATCGCAAATGATTTTTTATTCACAGCCCGCCCTACAACAAATAAATCAGAAAAATACTAGTAGAACTCATTTCATGTAGTTTTACTGCATTGACATGTGATGTCACGACTTTGTGACTGAGCAGAGTGGTCCAGAAGTGAAAACTCCTGCTGGCGCAGAGCCATCTACTGATGGAGGGTCTTCGGTTTATGCCACTTCCATATTTAGATGGAAAAAAAAAGGTTTTGTCTTCTGTAAATTTTTTATGACGCTTTGAGTCATGTGAACAGTGCCTAAGCCAAAATAAGAAGCTGATTGGCTGCGAGGGCACAGGAAGCACATTGTTCTGTCAACAGGAAACCCACAAGTCCTAGTTCCTAAAACACAGATACATGTTCCTCCTCCTCTTCAGAAACATTTAAAAGTAGTGCAAAAAGGTTTGCATATGCACTTATGACTAATGCAACAGAAAACTTTAATATTGTAATATATTACAGGGGGAAAAAAAGATTTTCCAGATATTGCTCCATCCCATTTAGTTATTTGTCTCTAATAAAAATAAAAATAAGCGGCTCTTTTTTTGTATTTTCTCTCCTCGATGCCGCCCTTTCTCACTCTGGTGTGCAGCCTCTGAGGCGCACAAGTGGAACAGCCTTGTGCTGAGATGGCTCCCCAGGCAGCGAGTGCAGCCCGTCCTTGCTCGGCAACAGTTTAGGAGATCCGTCATCCTAAAGAGTCCAGAGACGAGATGGAAAGTTTCTCTTTATTTTACGAGGATTGTCTTAAATGCAATTTACAGAATAGAGATTATCTCAAAGTATATTTCCCCCCTTTTTTTTTTTTTACAATATAAAACATTTAAAAAATGCTCAACATTTGGTCTGTAAAACTCTCATTTGAGAAAACACACACACACACACACAGTCATCAGAACACTAACACATAGAGAACATTAAGTAAAAGCCTCTTTAAAAAAACAAAATATGTACACAATACCCTGTCACAAACACCTGCTACATGTCGCTCTTGAGAGGATTTCCTCCAAGCACCTGCTGCACACATTTCTCTTCACCATGAAAAGAAACCACAGGTGGCATCGCACACAATACCACAGTTATTTAAACGGCATCTCAAACTATGCTAACTTTGGTTAATTTTTCTCTCAATACATTTGCTAATTGTTTTTTTTTTTCTCATTGTACAGAAAAATACTCAAGAACACTGAAAAAATCAACAGTGACAATATTTTTTTTCCAAAACAGTAATGGCGGTGATTAAAACTTTGAGAAGGTTTTGCTGGCCGTGAACAACGATTAACAAACGTGTTTTGAAAACATTTTTCAGCTGAAACGTTTAAAGCTAATGAGCTAAATGTACAGAAATATACAGAACAAAAGGGCTAACTGTAACTGAGGTAGCAAAGACAGAAAAGAAAAAGCATCATAATAGAGGAAGGCTCCTTTAGTACAATGTTTACGGTAAATGGCATGCCAGATAACGGCTTGTTCTATGGGTGATTTCTTCATTGGCTGTTTTTACGACCACCACGAGCATACAGCGACACGTTAACTATCCGTTAACTCTCTGACGGTGACGGTCAGTGAAGTAAAAGCCGGCTTTTGGGGGATTTGACTGAGCCCTACGGTAAATGAACCACACCAACAGCTGAAATCTGGAAAGTTGGATGTTAGGCACAGACCAGACGCCCTAATGCTCGATGAGCTGTTTTCTTTGGAAAATAACGTTCAGATTTAGGCGTCCAGCTATTTTTGCAGTGTCTGAAAAATCCCCCCTCCTGCTGTCCAGACGATCAGGTGACAATCCAGGCAGAAACCTTTATACAGTACATAGTTGTTACAAGACACCTCGTCGGGACAGTGTTGCTGTTTGGAAAAAGGGACGAGGAAGTGGAACGTCTTCCTTGTCAGCTATTACGATCAGATTTTCCTGGCCTTTAATTGTGCAGCAGGGCTGGAGACTCCACGATAGGCTCTGAAAGACAGAAAAGGTGCGATCAGGTTAAGTGTCCACGTCATGGAGCATTTCATGGCTTTGTAAAGACAGAAAACAACAGATGTATGCATACGAAGGCATTTGCAGATTGCACTTCTCTCTGTGAAGTGGTAAAAAGTTGTCTAAAGGTTAACGTCAGTGTTTATCTACCTGGGAAGCAGACACAGACTGATAATTTTCACATAAACCAATATGTTTTGCTGAGAAGTCACTAGAAAGCAGAACTGACTTAGTTTTTCATCAGAGTTTTGCAACAGAGTTAACATAACAGGGAAGTGCTGCTTGTAAGATATTGTGCAACCCTTATCCACAACGTGAAACCTCAGACAAAAGACAAAGGGCAGCAGCTCACGAACATCTGTGAGCTACTAGAGGAAATGATCCCTGCACACGGAGAGGAAAATTACATGTTTGGTGTGTTTATCAGTAAAATATCTACGAACCAGTGGATTCATGTTGATGACATTCTCAAGAAATCACCACTGGATGAATGTCTACACCAGGGGTCGGCAACCCGCGGCTCTGGAGCCGCATGCGGCTCTTTCATCCATCTGATGCGGCTCTCTGTGCTTGTAAAATAATGAAAGGATATTTAAATAAAATGCTTTATTTTTTACTGCATTAATTTTACATCTGTATGCCAATTCTATGTAAAGATTGTCTGCGTAAACCTGAACAGGTCCAACCCGGTCTTACTGAGACCGGGTCGACGGGTCACGCTTGTGCGTAATCATAGGCGCTTTCTGAGCTGAAGAGGATGTGAGATTCTGGGATTCTCCTCAGACGCCACATTGGAGACAGGAACAAGCGCTATTCAGCCAAAGTTTCATAATCAGGGAACATTTTCTAAGTGGCAAGTCTCTCTGAGCGACCGGGTTTGGAAAACACTCGCTTCAGTGGGAGGAACCTTCCTGCATGCGCTCTGGTTCTGCGACACGCTCCAAGCCAATCTCCACAACTTCAGCTCGCTGTGCACCCTATGTACACGCTGACAGTGAGCTGCGCTGAGCAATGTCCAGCTCAGATGTTCAGATGGGAATCTTTTCTTGGGTGATTTAGCTACATCTGCGACGTGTGTAACAAATAAAATGTCAGTTCGTCTGCATGCGTCGGGGTAATTCTTTCTATTCTTTCTCCGTCAAAATAAACCGTCAAATACGGGAACTATCCGGTCAACACAAGCCCTGCTTTTAACTGTTCTGTTTTCTTGTGAAAATAGATAAAATTAAACTTGATTAACACCAGAGCCAGGCGCACTGCGCCGTTATCTCCGTTGCTGTAAATGAGGGAAAAACAAAATGATGGGATCCTTTTCTGACCTTCCCCACCTACAAAGTTTAATTACAACAATCAAACGTGACAGAGCCTGGATTAGTATTCTGAACAGTCTAAACATGTTTTAAAAAGAAACGTATGACAAAAGTGGCACCTGCTCAGTAAAACCACCAACAGGGTGAAAAATGTCAAAAATTGAAGGCAGAGACGGGCTACAACTTCTGGATCCATTTTATATAAATCGTTTTATTTATTATCGTCTTATGAAAGATAACTTTGACGTACACGAGCGACCAGGCGCATTGCAAGCTTTTCAAAAGTGTGGGGGTTGTCTGTGCCTAAAATAATTTCATGTTATTCATCTTGTTAGTTTAATTTCCATAATAGCGGAGCAGGTGCGAATTTTAGACGTGTCACGCATGTCTCCGTTTTAAACATGTTTAAACTGTTCAGAATACAAATCCAGGCTCTGTCTCGTTAGATTGGTGTAACTAAAGTTTGTACTGAATGAATCTTTACATTAAACCATGTTGAAAAGAAAAGGATCCGATTAAATCGTTTCCCCTCATTTACAGTCACGGCGCAGTGCGCATGGCTCTGGGGTTAATCAAGTTTAATTGTTTCTCTTTGCAACAATCTTCACAAGAAGGCAAAACAGTTAAATGGCAGGTTACAGATATTTCCATTTGACTTTTATTTTGACGGATAAACTCAAGGATGCTGGTTGTTTTGAAAGAATTACCCCGACGCACACTGATGCATACACAGATGAGCTGGCATTTTAATCGTTACGCACATCGCAGAGGTAACTAAATCCATCAAGAAATGATTCCCATCAGAACATCAGAGCTTTATACTGGACACTGTGTTCAGCGCGGCTCGGAGCGCCCACGGTGGACAGTGAGCTGAAGATCTGTAGAGGGGTTCGCAGCGCAGCGCAGAACCACGGTGCATGCGGTAAGATTTCCTCCCACTGAAGCGGTCTGGAAAGCCGGTCTCTCTGAGGGATGTGTCACTTGGAAAAATGTTCTTTTTATGAAATTATGAAACTTTGGCTGAATAGCGCTTGTTCCCGTCTCTAATATGGAGACACATGACGCATCCAGTCTGAGGCAGAATAGTCTCTTCAGCTCAGAAAGCACCTGTAGAGACATTTGATCACGCACAAAGTTTATGTGGAGCAGAAGCGGTCGGGCCACGGCAGGTGAAACGTTCCTAGCCTACATGAAGTGAAACTGTTTAATTGTAACATTAATATGTTACTGGACACGCTGGTCTGGTTGGTTAGACCAGTGTTTGAAGTGGAAAACACACACACACACCAATTAAAATAATGCTGATAGCGTAGACTAGAAGACAGGTGATGGTTTACGTATTTAAATGATGATCAGGCTGCTGTAAAATGTCCACATCCAGACAGAATTATCCTCTATTCTTTCTCTATTTGCTCTGCTCTTGTCTGGGCTGACGGAGCGCGCGGCGCGCCTAACTAGCGGCTGATGCACATTTTACACACACACACCTAACGACAATTTAGACAGACCAATCAACCTAACAGTCATGTTTTTGGACTGTGGGAGGAAGCCGGAGTACCCGGAGAGAACCCACGCATGCACAGGGACAACACGCTAACTCCATGCAGAAAGACCCCCAGGCCGGGAAGCGAACCCAGGACCTTCTCGCTGCAAGGCAACAGCTCTAACCACTGCGCCACTGCGCAACCTGCGTGCTGCTATTTAATGTGGTTTTAACTGTAATTATAAACACCAAGTGCATTAAGTTATGTTTAAAATTTGACCACATTTCTCAACATAACTCTGGTGTGAACGGCTGTAAGTGAGAATTTAATTTTTTCAGTGATTAAAGAGTATTTACTACTAAAATTAAGTTATTGGACCTCCAGCACCTGAAATTAGTTGATCATTTCTTTCAGTGAACTTTGTTTGTTTAGGTCTCATATTTGTGCTTGTTTAAAGTATTTTAGTTTTATTTTGTCTCCCTTTTCTCAAAAAAGTAGAAGATGTGAGGAATCAGAGTAATCCAGTCTGGAATGTCTGTACGGGTGCCTCCGGACTCAGCAGGAAAACACACGAGATTGAAGCCTTTAACCATAACTAATGTTCCAATGTGGTTCCAAGTTGAGTCTGAGGAGACCATCAGGGTGAACATGAGTGTGGATGGGTGGAAAGTGACTTGAGACATGAAAGTAAAGCTATTATAACGATATGTAATAAAGAAGACGAAAAGATCTTTTCTAAAGCGCCTCTCAAGATAAAAATCACGAGGCGCTTCACAAAAACAAAAAATTTCAAATATAAAAAATTATTTAGAAAATGATTAAAAATATGTTTCAAATGAGCAAAAATAGACTATTGTGATTAAAAAATGTTAAGAAGGAGAGAGAGTGAGCAGGGAAAAGGGAAATCAGTGGATCCTGAGGAAGGTGGAATAGGTAGGGAGAGCAGAACAAGGAGAGGGTGATGAAGGTCACACCAAAGCCTGAACAGGTGAGTCTTCAGCTGCTTTTTAGCCCTTCCACTGTCTTTATGGGTGACCCAGTGAGGAAAGTTGACCATTGAGCAGGGTTGATGGTTTATCCCTTGAGGTCCACGTGGCAGGGGTGAGGAGTGAGCACCACCTCACCCCTGCCACGTGGACCTCAAGGGATAAACCATCAATCCTGTCCCTCGTCCCTATAGACCAGAACCAGGATCTTCAAATGAACCCTGAAGTTGAATGGCAACAGTGAAGCTGGAGGAGAAGCGGGGTGATGTGGGTGTGTTTGGAGGACTTGGTCAGAAGCCGAGCACAGGCGTTCTGAACCACCTGTAGACGGTTCAGGGAGGCTCTGCTCAGACACGTGAAAAGAGAGTTACAGTAGTCTAAGCGTGAGGAGATGAAGGTGTGGAGAACTGTCTCAAGTTCAAAGCGAGACAGAATGGGACTCAGCTTAGCAACGTTCCTGAGATGGAAGAAGGAAGAGCGAACAAGAGAACTGACATGAGAATCCAGGGTGAGAGCTGGGTCAAAGGTCACGCCAAGATTCCTGACAGAAGGTTTGGTGTGAGAAGCAAGCCGACCAAGAGAGTCTCTGACTTTGGGAACCAGCTTGTCTGGGGCACAGATGAGGATCTCAGTCTTATCTTCATTCAGCTGTAGAAAGCTCCCAGCCATCCAGGTTTTGATAGAGTCTAAGCAGGTGTGTAACAGCTGCAGCTTAGACATCTCATGGGGCTTAAAGGAGAAGTACAGTTGGATGTCATCTGCATAAAGATGGTAGAAGATTCCTTTGAAGGAGCTCAGGATGTGCTGAAGAGGAAGCAGATAGAGGAGGAAGAGCAGAGGCCCCAGCACAGAACCTTGTGGGACACCATGGGTAAGGGAGGTGGTGGAGGACCTAAACTTGGAGACGGCCACAGAAAAGGAACGCTCAGAAAGATAAGAGGAGAACCACTCCAGAGCAGTTCCTGATAGGCCTACCCAGTCTCTCAGCCTCTCCAGTAGCAGGTGATGGTCAACAGTGTCAAAGGCTGCAGTCAGGTCCAGCAGGACCAGAACAGAACAGTCCCCTGCATCACTGTGGGTCAGAAGGTCATTAGAGACCCTAAGAAGAGCTGTTTCAGTAGAATGAGCTCTACAAAAACCTGACTGGAAGCTATCATAGATGTTATGTTCATCAAGAGCAGCTGTGAGTTGTTTAGCCACAACCTTTTCCAAGATCTTGGAGATGAACGGAAGTTTAGAAATGGGTCTGAAGCTGCTATGGAGAGAGGGGTCGAGACTCGGTTTTTTAAGAAGTGAGTGGATTACAGCGTTCTTAAAGTAAGCAGGGACCTGACCAGAGACCAGAGAAGCATTAATTATAGAGAGCACGCTGGGACCGACGGACTGAAAAGCACTTTTAAACAAAGACGAGGGTAAGATGTGGAGGGGGCATGCAGATGTGGTAACATCAGTGTTAGCCAGGAGTGAACGGAGGATGTTTCAGCAGAAATGATGATGATGACCCGCACTTGTATAGCGCTTCTCAGAGGAAGGACTCCAAAGCGCTTTACACTAGAGTGTGTCATTCATCCATTCACACACACACATCCACACACTGGTGGTGATGAGCTACGATGTAGCCACAGCTGCCCTGGGGCGCACTGACAGAGGCGAGGCTGCCGAGCACAGGCGCCACCGGACCCTCCGACCACCACCAGCAGGCAAGGTGGGTCAAGTGTCTTGCCCAAGGACACAACAGCAGAATTCTCTGTCCGCAAATGCAAAGATGTGGTTTCTCTCGATTGCATCACAGGCAAGAATTTGAAACTTGTGCATTCCCACATGTCTTTGTGTAAGAAACATGCATGATGCTGCAAGTACCGTTGTTTAAAACTTAAGTAATAGATGAACATGAAAGGGATCGAGTTTTTTACTCTTGTTTGTATATGACGGTGACAGAACAGCTAATTCAAGCAGCAAAGACCAAGGTGGTCCACGAGAACATTCATTTATAAATGTTTAAAATGCATTTTATGTTTATTTAGGCAAAAATATGCATTCCTGTTAGTCTTGACCCCTTGATGCACCGGGGGTGTTGTTGTGGATGAGTTCTCCACAGATGCATGATGGGTTGTGTTGTAATGATGCTCGGATTGCTGACTCGAGTCCTACCTTCAGAGGGGAAGAACACGTCTCCGCGTGTGGGAGGAGAAAGGGGAGTCCCCGGCTCGGCCAGCAAGCGGCGACCCGTTTCTGAGGACTGCCTGGTCATGTTCTGGGAAACGGTGCGGGTCGTCGGTTGTGGTGATCCCCCCAGAAACACAGGGTTTTCGTGGCCTTGAGCCTCACTAAAACACACCAACCGATACAGAGGTTAGTGAAGAAAACTCCCAATACGAGTCGACGCCGTTTCTATTGAGAGACGTGATGGAATATTCCTGCAGTATTATTGTAAGCAGAAGCTTTGTTTTGATGGTAATGTGTGAGATCCGCTTAGCGACAGACTCTGGGAAAGCATACCTGTCCATCCTCACCAGCTCCTGTGCACCTGGGAAGGAGGAAATGGGAAATGGGCCATTGTGAGTGGAAATGAAGCAGCAGTGTGGATGTGCTTCCTACTTTGTGAAATACAGTAAATCCTCCCCTCAGACAGGAAACATGAGTCAGACGAAACACCACGGGAAGTCCAGCGTGGAGAAAAAAAAAAGCTAAATCTGATTCAGGGAGGAGATGGAAATGAGTTTGTACGTACGTCTGTTGGACTGGGCGCTCTGCCTCTGTTTGTAGACCAGCACCAGAATAAGAGGCAGGGAGAGAAGAGCCAAGATGCAGGCTGCCAAAGCCAGGGCCACGGGCACGGTGCCTGAGGAAGCAACGGAGAAGCTGTGAATCTAAACAAACTGAAAAGCCTGACACTCCTCTCATCCACCGGCTGTGAAGGCTCGAGTGGGCCTCCATACCTCCAGGTGCTGTGGGAGCCCACAGGCTGCAATTCTGATTTCCTTTTCTCCCTGGAAACACAAAATAAAAACCCGAGTTTTTATACAAAACCAGAAAGTTTCACCCCTAAACAACCTGCTTACCTGGTGTGATGTGAAGCACAATGTGACTGTGGTACCTCAGGGGAACCTGCGAGCTGTGCACCTTAGGGTCTCGGACTGCGCAGCAGTAGCGACCCTGGTCCGAGCGAGTCACATTTTGCAGAATTACCCACATGATTTTCTTTGTGTGTCCAAAATGCAGCCCTGCATTCGTGGTGGAGTTGACGTGGGGGTGACTGTAGGAAATGTGGCGTGGTCCCATTCCCGCTTTACACTCTTGGTCACTGAATGGTGTGAAAAGCCAGTTGCGCTTCATGTCATCAAGGGAGTGCACAGACTCGTCTTTCACACACTCTATTTTGACGTCTGCCCCCTCTGGACAGGTGTAGTATAGATGGGGGGCGGAGATACCCGGTGATGAGTGGGGGTGGGATGTCTCAGCTTTGATAGAGAAAGGAAACAGAAGAATATAGTTAACAGATTTTTAGATATTCCTTCCTTGCTACAGTTAATCCTAAACTGGCCTTTTCAACGGAGTTAGTTTAGGAACAGAAGGACTAAGTATTTAGTTGTGGGTAAAGTTTGCATTTACTATTAAAAGAGAAGACAAGTGTGCAACAGAAATGATTAGAAGTGCCTAAAAAGCTAAATTTTTACTCGTACCTACGACAAAGAAAAACCAGAGGAACAAAAGTGTTTTTGTAAAAATATACAGTCACATTTGGGCTGATGATTTGTTTTATGGTAAGGGTGAGTCTGACAAAGGACTGTGTTTGGAGAAATAGGGGTAACACCTTTCAGGACTGATGAGCTAACGGCTAGTCTAAAACAGCCAAGATGAATATTACTGCAGTCTTATTACCGCTCCAGTCTCCTCAACTTCACAGAAAGTGATGCAGGTGTTCTACAAACCGCCGGCTATCCAGCATTACGTTGTTTTGTTGTCTGGCATAAATATTAAAGGTCTCATTTGCTCTTTTTTCAATAAATCCGCTTTTGCCTCTGGGATGAATGAATGCCTTGTGAGCAGTTTTCTACGTTTCATTGGTTAGAAGTTTGTCGGAGGAGCGGGG